AAAAAAAAAAAAAAAAAGGCACCCTGCATCTGGAAAGACACTGAAAAAGCCATTTTTGTCCTGACCTCCCAGACCGTGCGTCTTCGCACACCAGCTTTGTGGAACCCTTCCAAGATAATTTGTGAACTCTGGTTCACACACCATTTTCAAAGTAGGTCATACACAGTAATCTCATCTGAGGAGAGAGACACTATCAGTACGAGTCCCTAGAGGCTGTAAGGAGGAGGGCAGTTTCAACCAATCCGAGAGGTGGTGGAAATTAATAGCCTGAGCCATGCAACTGCACCCAGCTGCTGCAAGGTGCTTGCCTTGTTCAAACAGCTGACAGACAAGCTCTAACAAACCCAGCCTCTTTGCCATTTATAGCTGTAAAAGGACCTACTGTTCACCTGGATGCACCACCAGCGTGGCTTAAATATTAACCTGAATGAAAATACAGTGTAAGAAGAAATCTAACCTTTACTCAGCTCTTTGCACCAGACAGCAGGAATCACAGCTAATTCTGAACTATGACATTTAAAGAAAAAGTATTTCCTATAGTCTTCAAATGACTGCTTCCTCCAAAGGCTCTCTTGAGTATCCCACTGGTATTTAGAGCTCTTTTAATCATCATCTTTACAACCAAAACAAAATCATGAGACGGAGGTTATAGAAAAAATGGGATCTGCATTGACAGAGGGACTCCCACAACACATAAAGCCTCCAGCACAAACCATTTTCATCCACCTCTTATTCTGAGTCCTGCATTTGGGCACTGGCAGTCTGAAATTTGCATCTGTGTAAAAAAGATTCACAGGAAAATAAAAGCATGAATGGTTACGCACACACACAATTCTAGAAGTGTTAAAAAGAATTATAATAAAAACTAGAGAATGCTTACTTTAAGGCAGTGTCAATTTAAAGCATTCACATATGAGCTATTTGGAACATGCTGCCTTTAAATAAAATCTGCACATCACCAATTATCTCTTAAAGCTGCAAGCCAGAAAGAATGGCTGCAGAGTTCTTTACAAAAGTTAAGCAATTTTATGAAGTGGGTTAATTTTTAATCAGTTTTTATTTCACCTTGTTTCTGGTCAATGGCTACAGTACAAGACTAATTTAACATGAGTGGGCATTGCTTTTGTTACTGAAATCAATACTGAGCCAGTCGAGTTAGCCAAAGATGTTTGGTATCTATCAAGCCAAAGAACCAGCTTTCTTCTGCTGGAAAAGCTGCAGATTTTCTTTTGTGGTGTGTAGAACTGAAAACCTTATGTAAATATAAATAAGCACTGGTTTCTGGATTCACTCTGCTCTCTGCAAAGTGAGTGGGGGAGGCAGCAAACTGTGGAAGAGCAATAACAGTTTCTATGTGGTGGTGTGGATGGAAGAAAGGGTGCACAGAATAACCTCCCACTTCTAAACAAGCACCATACCTGATCAATAGCTCTCCCAGGAAGCTGTGAAGCATATTTATGCATAGTCTTATCATCTGACAGAGAATTAACTGCTTTTTATGCAAAGATTTATTTTAAAACATCTACAGAAAACTGGAAAGGGACACCACTTAGTATATAATCCAGGGAGCAACTGATAGTCCAATGTAAAACATGATACTTTCCTGGAAAAGTCACACTGTCTGTGCATAACTTCAAAGCACACTTAATAAAATTGAAAATGGGGGATGAAATGGCTGAATTTTTTAAATAACCCATAGCAAAGGGAAAAACAAAACACTATTTCTTTCCCCCAAGGTATAAAGAAAACCTTACCATTCTGTTTTTTTCAAACCAATGCAAGTTTTATGTTAGGTGCAGCATCCATACTAGATCATCTGTGGTACAGATTTACCGAAATAAAGAGCATTTCTAGACTAAGTTTTATTTTTTCTCATCATACTGACAGGAATCTTTTTCCAATACTAGGATCAAGCTATTTACAAAATACGTTTATTCAAAAACCATATAGAAAGCCAGAGAGAGAAAGAGAGGGAGAAGAAGAATCCTCTGTATTTTCCAGTATATCTGAAAGTAACCTTGTTTTAGTCTTTGAAAGGAATGAGTATGAAATTCTAAACAGGTCACAAAGTAATTAGGCACCCACCTGAAAATTAAACACACATTGAAAGGCTTAACTAACAGCATATGCTAATTCATCCCTCATTTTTTCATGGTTGGTCATTAAGATATAAGGCAAAGCTGGATCCTGTCAAACCCTACTTATCATTGGAAGTGAAAAGCTCTAATCTTTCTGCTGGGTTAAAAGGAGATAGAGACTAGAACAAAGTGATACTATGTTCAGAAAGCTGATCTGATAGGGCACTGCAGCTACAACAGGGTTTGCAAGTCTGACATAACAGAATCAAGGCTGAGGAATCAGAGGTTACTAAGAACAAGATCAGATGTACAGTACTAACCAACTCTGGGACCTGACTCTAGTCTTGCATAAGCCCGCATAACTTGGTGAGGTCAGTGGAGGGACTCCTAATCTACAGCTAGAAGAGAACAGAATCAGGTTATCATTTCCTACCTTGTAATTGGTGGCTTAGACCAGAGCAGCCAAGGGGTAAAAAGAGAACTTGTCATCACATGTCCTATGTTTTTACCAGCGTCAAATAAGGTAACATAACACAATAGGATGTGCAAACTTTAGTACCAAGGAATTGTTTTTCCTTTGTAATTGTCTTCAGTGTGCTATAATAATACAGGTTACTTGTCTGCATTACATTAATGGGCTGCAGCAGTGTCACAGATGCAGCTGAGATTATTCAGAGTGAACACATGCGAAGTGCAAGCCACTCTTATATTCAGAGTCATATTATATTCAAGTAAATACAGTAGTTAAAAAACTGTCATATGGAAAGAGGAGTCCAGGGAAATAAGTGCAGAGAAGGCCTGGAATTTCTTTAAGTGTGTGTTGTACTCCTACCAGGACAGAGTCAAACTGTATCACCACTTCTTTAGAAAGCCCCCGTTTGGGCCGGAGCGCAGTGCCATGTACACCCACATGAACATAATGGAGGCCCTGGTTACATGATCTCTGCTTCAGTCCAATCCAGTACAGACAAGTCCAGAGCGGGGCAAGCAGTGGAGGAGATATCCTTGGCTGTACGGTGGGTGGGTGCTGGCACCATGATTCACCTACCTCATCAACCCACAAGAGGTCAGTGGTGGGGAAAGGACTTCAACACTGGATCCATTTTTTGGGGGGTAAGGGGACAGCATAAGGAATCCCCTTCATCTCAGCCATGGTTTATGAATTAAAGTAGCCAGTCTCTGCTTCAAGCACATGCAGACTTCATGGCTAAGCTACAGCCCTCCAGTGCTCCTACATCACTTTTGCTCCAGGAGAGGTGATGAGGAGCCTCCCTTTTGCTTCTCTGAAGAACCTAGATATGAGCTAAACTATCTATGAGTTTCAGATCAGTAACCTTATTTTCTATAGTAGCTTTGATGTCTGTAGCGTAGCAGTTATCACATTGGCTTCACAATGAACGATGTTTCAAAACCAGGCAGAAACAGCCCCCTGCTTGGTGTCCTTTCTCCAGCCTGGCTTGTAGATAATGCCAGAGATGCTAATGCAACAGGAACAGATATTTTTAGCAGAGCAGGAGGGTCTGGGAGGTGGATTCCTACTTTGTTCCTTGGGTACGACAGGCTACCTTGTCCACAAAGAAAGACAAGGCTGAGCAGTGCAAGCAAATGGTAATGTCTGAGCCTGACTCTGCCTCCCTGCAGCAGTAAAGTTCAGAATGCTGGATGGACTTCCTAGGGCTGGAGGGATGGGAGGGGGGCAGGGTTAAGCAAGGAGCATAGCCTCCCAGGATGCTGGAGAATAGGGGCATGCCTTGTGGTGCTCTGAATAACTGCATGTGGTGTTGGAAATAACCACACTGCTGAGAAGTTGCTGTTGTAAAGAGTTAACAGTTCTTCATGAAACGGCCATCCTTTTTCCTCAAAAAACAAAACAAAACAAAAAAACCCCACTTGAACTCCTGTACAGTCACTATTTGTGGTGCTAAAGTGGCATATTTATCCCTAGAAATGCAATGTCTGTTCATGGCTTTCAAGTTGTTCAGATACAGGTTTCTTATTTGATGCATTATGAAAAGGAGATGCCAACTGCTAAACTGGAACCACACACATCTCTACCGACGGACATCACTGTGACAGTTTTAGCATAGGCACTCCATAACCATACTTTTGAGGAGCACTTTTGTGCCTACTTATATATAGTTTAAACTTGTTTGTTTTTTTAATAAAATTTCATTTCCAGGGTCAAATCAGTTCTGAATTAAGTTCAAATTTTGACTGGGCCCATTGGAGAAGCACCTTAAAACAGCCTTGAATGGCCAGCTGAGGATTATCCTGGTGTCAGGGGAAACTCTCAGGGAATGTTTAGCTAGCTCTGCACAATCCCATCCACTCCCAGGGGTCTGGGACATGTTGTATGCAGAGGCAGCATACAAGTGTTATCATCAGCAGGTACAGGGTAAAGGAGTTATTTCGACACCAGCCAACACTAAGGCTGAGGCTGGTTTAAAGGTGGCTGAGATCAACCTTTGTCTTCCCATCAAGCTTCAGCTGTGCCAACCATGGATTCAGCATATATATGATAACAACCCTATAGCTTTAATGGCCTCTGGGATTTTCTGCTATAACGCTTTGGAAAGGTGATGTGATCTGGTCCCTTTTGCTTTCCTTTTGCCAGAGGAAAAGCAATACCTTTGTGCCAGGCCAGGTCTCCACAGTGCCAATGACAGGAACCCCAATGTCACCTCCTAAACAGTATCTGGTCAAAGTGTTGCTGGGGCTTCTAACAGGAATCAGATCTCTCCTTCACTGTTGGTATTAGAAAACCCTAGTTAGGATGGGATGACTCAGAGTCACTCCTCAATGGCAGTAGAGGGGATATACATCTAAAGAGAGAGACAGCACAGACTGTGGTCTGTTCCAGTAAAGCATGTACCTTAACATACTAAAAAGGATTTCCCATGATAACTACTACAGTGTGTTCGTGTCTCTGCAGAGGTGCTGCATGCTGCTGATTGGTTTGCTGGGCTACTCAGCTACTGCTGATCAGACACAGCCTGTCCCAGTAAGCCCACAGCATGAAACAAGCAGAGGCAGTATAAGATACATGCAGTAAAACTGGTCTTCATCTTTATTCTATTCACCTTTTTATGACCTCAGATTAGTGCCACTGAGCCAAATTCATATCTAGTATGATTCTACTGAAGTCTGTGAACTCAAGCCAGCAACCAGTTGGCCTCATTTCTTTATGTTAATTATGAATGGTGGAAACAGAAACTAGCAGGTGTCTAAAACTTCAAGTCAATTGTGAGCACCTTGCTCTGCACAGAATTGTTTCCTAGATGCTAGCTGCTTCTGTTAGCTCAGTAATTCTTCTTTTAGTATTCTGTCGTGTTTTCATAAGCTTCCTTTCACAGAGGTGCTAGTTCCAAATGGAAAGGAAAGGCTAAACTCTGTTCCCAGTTATGCTGGAGGTAAGGCTAGGGCATAGACACTCCAGAGAAGTCAATAAATTTATTCTGACAACTGACAGCAGAGTATGGTTAGAAGGCTCAATGAGGTACACTTTTGGGTATTTTCACTGATGTTTCTGATTACACCCTCTTGTTGCTACCTGGATTAGCAGTCTTAATTTGATATTAAGAGCGAAGGAGATTTAAAACACTAAATTATGTAGGCTCTAGCATACGTACGGTTTACCCCTGGAAGAAGCAGGCATAGGAATAGCAAGCTCTGAGACAAAAAAGTGTTCAATGCTCCACAGGCAGGAGGTCAGCTATAATTTTACATCAAGGATGTTGTCATTGTTTGAGTATCACACGTGCTTATACCCCAGGGTGTAATGTTGATTAATTGGTAGAAATTACATGTTAGTCCTCACGTCATTAATGAAACAGGGCTTGAAAAAGCCACTCATGCACTCCCCTTTTGCAAATAGATTTCCCTGGCTAATGTGGTGAGTTGTTTTAGCCATGAACTCCTATTGAAGCTGAGCTTCCACTATGAAATAAAAGCGTATGCACTCCCAGCTGCAGGGCTGCAGACAGAACCTTCCCAAGCACAGCCCAAATATAAGTGATGTACTACTCTCTTCCTGAGTCTGCAAAAGAAACACCTTGCTTCTGTTGCTCCTTATTCACTGCATTGCCAGTCATCACAGGCAGAAAGATGTTAAGAAGACGTGGGCCAGTTTTGTTTATTTTTACCCCATTGTTTTTGGCCTGAGGTCTATAATACAGAGTTCTGTGCCATACCTTCATAGCTTCATGCAACAGCCACTGTCTAGCATTCCTTCCAAAACATCCTTTAATGAATATGATCCTATGAACTGGATCAGGAAGGGAATCCCCTCCTCCAACCCATTCCAAAACACTCCAAAAAAACCAAACTATGGACATTTTAACAATGGAAGGCAAGGAGATGTACCGTAATTTATACTTTGCACATCAGAGGCAAACTATGTTT